AAAATATGAGAAAAGGTAAAAAATGGAAACAAAGTCTTTGCAAATAGGGAAGGGTGGAGGGGGTGAAGGGAGGGCAAGGGAAGGGGAAAAAAAATGAACCAAGAAACTCATGTAATGGTACAAGATCCCAATGATGAATGTAACTGTATTTTATACTGAAAATGTACCAATAAACTTAATGGAAAAAAAAGAAAGAAAAAGAAATCCTAACACTCACTAATTCAGAGGTTATATGTATTTGTAGATAGGCTCTTTAAAGATGGAATTAAGAATGCCCATATATTTTGTTAAATTAGTTCATCATGTATTCATTCAGTCTATTCAAGGAATGTCATTTAGCAAACTTTCCTGGCCTCTAAGTCTCTAGTGTTTTTGCCACCAATTCAGTCAACACTCTATATCTTCTAGTTCTTTTTTTTGGAGGGGGGGTACCAGGGATTGAGCTCGGGACCTTGGGCTTGCGAGGCAGGCACCGTAACCACTGAGCTAAATCCCCAGCCCTATCTTCTAGTTCTTTAGAGTACCAAAAGTCCCTACCATCCATGAGTCAACAATCTAAAATCCTTTACTCTCCATAAATTAATGCAAACATATAGGTAAATTCTTTATGTTTCAAATACAATGTCATAAGTAAGGCTACAATAGGTTTATGAGCCAAAATATATGTTATATGGATGAGTTTTGGAAGTGGTTATATCAATCACTTCCATCTCTACCTCCAAACACAGCCAGTGGACATAGTGGATGCAGCAGACAGCACAGTGATGGGGAGGTGGGGGTGAGTATATTTTCATTGTTTTAGGGCTCCAGAAACTGAGTTTATTACAGATTGTGAAGTTCAGAAGTAGAAATTCAGTAGGGAAAAGGTTTTGGTTTAGGTTGAAGAGTTGGTCTTGCTTGATTTTTGATTCCAGATTAATAGGACCAACTCTAAACGTGTTTTGCAGGTCCCTTTCATTTTAAAACTCACAGACAAAGGAGAACTATGCCTCCTGAGGCTCATCTTTCCATTTCTTGTATCCTACAAGACAATGAAAACAATCAGACTGAATCAGAAAGAATGTGACTCCTCCTAGTTCGAGGACTCCGAACAAAAACCAGGGTTAAGACTCTTCTATTTCCTGAATGACAAACTACCTCTATCTTCACCCTTGTATCCGTGCCCAGAGCTAAGAATGAAAGATTGGAAACAAGTGGGTGCATTCTCTGCCTCTCACCTGTGTTTAAAATCAAGGTCTCATAGTAACCACAGTTGACAGTGTTTGGGGCTCCAGCAGCCCAGGATTTGTAGAAATGTCAGCTGCAGTTCTAGAAAAGGAACAGAATAGAAGCAAGTTCAGTCAGATAGAGACAGAAATACCTGGCCTGTGTACACATTCAGAAATGAGCCAATAAACACGACAGAGAAAACCTCATTGCTGCCTTGAGTGTTGTGTCATTTCCCTGCTTTTCCTCCTTTCTGGAATTCCTAACTGCTTTCCCCTTGTCCCACCAAATAGTAATTTTTCTGAATACTATAAAAGCTCATTACAAAAAGTGATTCCTGATTTTCTCATTTGAAACCTGCAATTCTCACAACCCATCATAACATTGGCCATTAATAGAAAGTTTGGTATAACAACAGATTCTCCAAATGCCAGCATTAGATTCTTTTCTTCTAGTCTCTTTTTCTATGTAGTCCATAACTCTCTTTCATGATGAAGAATAAGAAAATGGGTAAAAGGCAATACATAAAAATGCTTTGCTGGAAGAAGTCAGCTTGGAACATTCAGGAAATTGATGTTTCACCTCCCTCTCCAATTATTATTCTTCATAAATCATAGAATCCATGGAAAGGTTGCTTTTATATGAAAATAATAAAATGTGATTCTTGAAATACCAGACCTAATTCTCTACTTTCCTCTCCAAGTTGACCATTAGAAAAAGAAAGAGGCAGCATACTGAGCTTTTTAGGGTCATAGAAGCCAATCCAGAGATTCTGGTCATTAGAACCACTCTCCTTAATTAGAGAAGACACAAAGTTGCCCTCATTCTGGGTGAGCACAGATACCAAGTAGCCTGAATTCATACTCTGGCCAAAGAGCTGTGAGTGGAAGAAAATGGAGTTCTCAAGGAAGGAATAAGATTTGAGCAATGTACTGGGTCCTCCCTAGTGAAATGGAAGAAAACACTAAAGAAAATGTTCCTGATGATGCTGTCACTGTGACCTGCAATCCTATGCCAGAAAGGCACAAAATGATAGAACCAAGTATAGCAGAAAAGTTTGAGCTGGTCAGGGGATAAGTGTGTGGTTAGTCTTATCTCATTGAACCTACTGAGGATGCCAGGAAATGGCTTCCCTCCCCCACATTGGTCTGTCTCAAACTAGATTGAACTTTCTTCATTAAAGTAGTAGCAGTAGGAACCATAGCCATTGGGACCTTCTGGGCAACTGACCCAGGCAGAAGGGGGGTCGGTCTCAACCTGCTTGCCTGGGAAAGGAGAGGAAATTAAAGGAGAGTTATAAGATTGGGCAAAGGCTGGCAGATGACAGAAGAGTTTTAATGGTCCTTCATGGGAGCATAAGACACACTGTGGGCATGGAGTGGTGGCTTCCTCCTGCCTCCTACATCCCTGCTCTTCTTTATCTGGCTTCCTTTTCTTAAGACAAGACCTCACATTGAATTAGATGATAAAATTTGTTCCTACTTTCCTCATTCTATTTTGGGGCTCTGACTTCTATCTTCTTTCCAGCCTCTCCTGACTTTTCCTACACAAGGCTGCCCACACCCTACTAGTGAAAGTCCACATAGAAACATCCCCCAAGCCACCATCAGATCTAAGTTTAAACAGATGTGCTTATTCCAACTGCAATGATTGTAGACAGATGGTAATTTAAATTCCACCTCCAAGTTCCTAATGAGATGACGATGTACAATATTTGAATGGTATTACAGCAGAAATAATAGTCACCAAAAAAAACCCCCTTGTATTTAGTCTGCCTTTTCCTAAGGGGATCAATGTGCATAGAGGTTGAGTGAAGGCCTAAGGTCTGGTTTAGGGAGGCATAGTGTGAAGAGCTCACCTTGGCACAGAGACAGGAACATCAGGCATGAGATCAACATCAAGAATGAGTTGATATGAGCCATGCTGAGGACCAGAGAGTGTCTCTCTTAGACAGCAAATCAATAATATCTACTAAAGTACACAGAGCAAAGGGTTCTGAGAGGGAGGGTAGAGCACCTGTGTTCTATCATACAGTCTCCTCTCTGAATTATTGAGAGCAAGAAGGGCCCCAAGAAACAACATGGTCATGTTTCTGTTCAGAATTTGAGATTATACAGACCCAGTAACTGTCAAAGGCAACAGTCTTTCTTGCTGAGGCATCAGTAGTGCTAGAACTTTTTGTACTAAAATCACCCTGTATATTCACAATGACATAAGGGAAGTAGCTCATGCTGTTGGCGGGGTCTGAGGTGTTGGACCAGTCAGTGCTGGGTCCTTTATAACAGGTACAATAAAAGAGCCAGAGCATTTGAGCAAAGGGCGGGGTGAGGGTGAAGAGTTAGATGACCTACACAGGCACTGACACACAGGAATCCTGGCTGTAGGAATAGCCTCTTTCTGGTACACTCTGGGAATGTCCACAGATAAGGTTCCCTTCCCACAAACATTTTGGCAAGTTTTCCAAAGTCAAAGGCAGACTTTCCCTTTTCCCAGTTATAACCAGCTGCCCAGTTCCTATGGCCCCAAGCACCCTAGACCTTGGCAGAGACCTTCTAATATCACAATGGTTAATTTGAGGGATAGGGCAGCCAGAGGAGGTGAGGAGTATGTGAGCCTGGAATAGGATAATCCATAGGGATTTATACACAGGTCAATGAGGAAAGTCACTTAAAATTCAATTACTTATTTCACTTAACCAACATCATACTGACCATGAATCATTTTGTAGGTTGAATTTCTTAACTCCCACTTATGCTTTCAGTGTGAGAAAATTCTCTGCTTTTTAATGATTCATATAATTAGATCAGACCCACCCTAAAAATCTCCCAGAAATATCCACTTTTATTATCTCAGAGTCAACTGATTCATGACCTTTGATTGGATCTTCAAAGATCTATTTTGACATATAACAGATTTACAGTTTCTGACCATGCTCAAAGAGGGCACATTCTGTAAGATCAATAATCATTGAGGGTCAGAGAATTCTGTATAGCATGGATGTTTTTGCCATTCATGCTTCCCTGAGATGAACTTCACCAGACTTGGAATATGGAAACATATATTCTGTTCCTTATATGAAAGACCCCAAAGGAATAGGACCTGAAAATTTCTTCCTTGACTCTTCCCCCTTAACTAATTCTCCCTCTCCTTTAGCCAACAACTACTTCCAAGGCCCTCAGTCCCTAACCACTTATCTCCACCTCTTTTGAGCCAACTCAGATTGTGCAAGTTATAGCTGGTAATTTTAGAGAGAAATTTCTCTGATCTTGACAGCAGCTGAATCTCAAATTATGTTCCCATGGTAAAGCCCTACAAAATATTCTACTCTCCAATTCTAAGTCAGAATGGCCCTTGGAAGGCTTTTCATGTCAAATATTGCTAAACAAATCAAGGCTTAAACTGATAGTGTTTTGCCTGATTTTTTTTCAATGTTGGTGCACTTACTTGGAAAAAACTGGACTTACTGTCATTCAGCTCAACTAAATCCATAATATTGGCAACATCTTCCCATCTCAGATTCTTTTTTTTATTAGTATATATTTTCAGTACATAATGTTTATATCCTTCTGTGGAGTTTGTACATGTATATAACACATCTTAATTCTCTTTTCCATCCTTTTCTCTCCCCTCCCTCTCCCTCTATCTATTCATCCCCTTCCCATTTGAGAAAGATATTTCCCTACTTCTTATTGTCTTTTATTTTGTATTTTAATTATAATTTGGGTTTCTCATATAAGAGAAACTATGTGTTATTTAAGTTTGTTTGTGTGTCTGATTTAATTCATCTAAAATTACAATCTCAAAGTACATCCATTTTTCTACAAATGACTCAAGTTTATTTTTCTTTGTGGTAGAATAGTGTTCCGTTGTGTGTTAATACCATATATTCTTTAACCATTCATCAGGTCATGGCTATATAGGCTGCTTCTATGATTTAGCTATTATGAATTGTGCTGCTACAAATGTCATCATGCATGTATCATTTTGATATGATGCCTTTAACTCATTTGGGAAGTTACCTAGAGAGGAAATACCAGGGTAAAATTGATTTTGTAGTTTTAGTTTTTGAAGAATCTCCACACTGATTTCCACAGTAGTTGGATTAGCTTATCTTTTCACCAGAAATGTAGAAGTTTCCTTTGTCACCACAGCCACACCAGCATTTGTTCTTATTTGATTTCATGATGATGGCCATTCTTTCTAGGGAAAGATAAAATCCCAGTATTGCTTTAATTTGCATCTCTCTAATGGCCAGCAATGTTGAACTCTTTAACTTATTTATTAGCCATTTCTACATCTTCTATGAAATGTCTATTAATTTCACTTGTCCTTTTTATTTTGTCTTTTATTTTATGGGGGTCAATTTTTTTGTTTTTATATATTCTAAATATTACTCTTCTTTCTGAAGAAATTTTTCTATTTTTTGAAAATTTTTTCCATTTCTGTAGGTTATCTTTTCACTTTCTTAGTTGTTTGCTTTGCTCTACAGAAGATTTTTAATTTGATATGATCATATTTGTTGACTCTTGTTCTATTTCCTGTGCAACCAAGGTTCTGCCCAGAAAGTTGCCTTTTATCATGAAATGATGTTGGATTTTGTCAAAGACTTTTTCTGTTTACTGAGATCATTATGTGATTTTTATCCTTCCCTTTGTTTATATGGCCTATTACATTTATTGATTTATGTATATTGAACCATCCTTGCATCCTGGATATGAAGCCTACTCAGTCATGATGTGTGATCATTTTGATGATTCATTGTATTCTGTTTGCCAGCATCTTGTTGAGGTTGTTTCATCTATATTCATTAAAGAGATTGGTCTGCAGTTATCTCTTTTGGCTGGATTCTTGTCTAGTTTTGGAATCAGGGTAATGCTAGTTTCCAGGGATTACTTTGGGAGTACTCTTTCCATTTCAATTTCATTGAAGAGCTTGACAAGTATTGGTGTAAATCTTCCTTGAAGTTTTTGTAAAATTCAGCAGTGAATCCATCTATACCTGGGCTTTTTTAAGTTGGTTGTTTCTTATTATTGCTTCAATTTCATTGTTATAGAATTATTCAGGATTTTAAAATATTTTTGGTCCAGTTTTGGTAATTCATGCTTCTAGGAATCTATTCATTTCTTGTGAATTCTCCAATTTATTAAAATAAATTATAGGTCTGTAATAATCTTTTTTCAGCAGTGCCCATTGTGCTTTTATGTTTTATATTTCTAAGTGCATTGATTTGGGTATTTTTTTCCTCCTTTTTTGGTAACATTGGCAAAGGGTTTATTGATTTCCATTTTTTGAAGAAGCACCTCTTTGATTAATTGATTTTACTATTTATTTGTTCTCAATTTCATTGATTTCTCCTCTGTTCTTTATCATTTCTTTCCTTAGCTTTGAGATTAGATTTTTCTTTTTCTAAAACTTTGAGGTGCATCATTAGGTTATTTATTTGGTCTAGCTCTGGTTTGAGGATGTGGGTATTCATAGCTATTTCCTTCTTAGAACTGCTCTCATTGTGTTCCATAAATTCTGGTATGTTGTACTGGATTAATCATTTAGTTCTAGAGACTGACTTATTTTGTCCTTTATTATTTTCTAACCCATTATTTATTTAAGACTGTATCATTTACTTTCCATGCATTTGCATAATTTCTGTGTTTTCTTTTGTCATTGATTTCTAAATTAATTATGCTATGATCTTTTAATATGCATGGCACAATTTCAATTATTTCACATTTACTGAAGTTTTCTGTATTGCCTAGTGCATGATCTATTTTGGAGAAAGTTCCACATGCTGCTTATCACATTTATGTGAACAACTAATCAATAAACTTCAGGTTTATCTTCTGTCCATTAAGATAAACAAAAATTTTAGCACTAAACATTAGCAAATCTGGTAGGATCTTACAAAGAACAAGCTAGAATTTTAATCTATGGAAATTTGAGGTATGAGCAAGATAATCAATATTTGATCATCCCACTGCCAACAGGTAGGTCTGCCCATGCCCTGCCGAGGTCCTGAATCACACAGAACATGCCAAATCAGCCCACTGCAGACAGGCAGGTTGCCCATGCCCTACCAAGGTCCCCAGTCATGCAGAATATGATGAATCATCCCACTGCAGACAGGAAGGTCTGCGCATGCACTACCGAGGTCCTGAGTTGCACGGAAGACACTGAATCACCCTGCTGCAGACAGGCAG